ATCAACTGGTCTTGTTGACTTTGGGCAAGGCCTAGCTGATATTTGTTTCCGCAATTCCGACATAAATGTTTTATATAGTCGTTCGGTTTTCCCTAAACAATCGTGCATTGTTCGCGAGCAAATTCTGATAAAACTCAAATAAGAACGTTAAAAGTACAAAGTAATCGATTCCGAGCAGGTGCTTTGTATAGCAACAATACTTGTACATTTGTTTGATGAAATTGTAATATTTTATAATATTTTTGTATAGTTATTTCAGTTGTATATTTTTGTATACAGTTTTTAATTTATAAAATACATTAATGGAATAATCAATGTGTTTTTCTGCGTGTTAGATTACATCTATACAATTAATACAATTGGAGTGTCTGTATGTTAATACAATAATTTTTCATGTATATTTTTATGACCACGATCCCACCTGTATATGAAGTATTTGCTTTACCCAACGAAGTGCTTATTTTTAAAATGTTTGTCGTTCTGTCTTTTTGTCCTTAAAAATCTGTTCCTTCCGAGATATCTCAGGAATAATAGGACCAAGTTGACGGGAATTTTACTAGAAGATAGTTTATGTACGCGATAACATATATTTTTTTTTATAACATAAGGTGGCAAACGAGCAAGCGGCCACCTGAATCCACAGAAGTGGGAAGCAACCGCTGCCCATAAACATTCGCAATTACAGATGCGTTGCCTACGCTTCATCGACAGTAGAGGAGACGCACATAAAGAGGTTTTTTCCTCTTCCTATGCATCTCCTCCCCCGTCAAATCCACTTCCCCTTTCCATCTTCTCCTTATAAGAAAAGGGTGGTAAAGAGAAAGTGACTTAAATTAGGCCTCCGGCACCACACTCATCAGACGGAACACGGAATTGCTTCCATTTCACACCTGTCTTCTGTCTTCTTACTACGTTTGTTTTAAATAAATCGTTATCTGTAATAATTACTGATGAATAGTGTTCAAATCGTTTGCCAATACGCCTTCATTTACTATGGAGACTATTAACAAGCCGTTATAATACTAACCTATCACAAACTTTTCCAGTGTGTAAAAGTGTACGCAGAAGTTTAATGGAGCAAACATTTATTATCAAAAGGCTACATGAAACCAAGTTGCGGAGTCATTGTGTTACGTATTGTGTATTTCTAAACTCTGGCGCCCTCTTGTTAATGTCAGCATTGTAATGTTTATTTGAGTAAAATTTAGTACAATTTCATACATGTTTCGTTTCATGGTGCGGACTAGTGTAGACAGTGTTTTAAAGATGTCTACACAGAAATGCTCGAGTCGACTGATCGAAGTGGGTAATGCGTGCAGTATTACGCTCCCTCGAAACCCACCTTTATCTATCTAACTACTAATATAATAAAGCGTAAACACACACTTCTTTGTTGCCTAAGATGTCAGCAATATTAGCGTATTTTTGAATAACTCTTTTTTAAATAAAAAGCCCTACACTTACGTTACGCTTCAGACTATATATTTTTACGCCATTAAACTTAGGGGTAAATATTTTTTATAAAAACCTTAATATGGGAATGAGACCATAAGTTGCTGCCAACATCAAGAAATCAAAGTTGCCTGTTTGACATCATTTAATGTAATTTCGACATTGGCAATTGATAATTTGACAATAAAATGATTTCTTTTAAAATTTATGCGGATGAAGTCGCATGGGAACAGCTAGTCAGACATATACGCAGAATAAGTTTGTATGTAAATAGAACAAACGGTCGATGTAGTCCGTACCTTTATAAATTTCATTGTAAAAGAAATTCAACGTTGCCCAAACGAATCGGAATTGAGAAAGGTATTTTCATGAATGTATAAAATTATACAATCCAGTTCTACTTTTTTTTAAAACGAACGAGTTTAGTCAATGTTAGACAGATTACAAGGATTTTTTTATAATAATATTTCTTTATCATTAAACTAGCTTTAACCCGCGACTCCGTCCGTGTGTGATTAAAAAAACCAGAACTAAGTAGCCTATGTGTTCTTCCAAATTATCCTTTACTTTATGCCAAATTTCATAGAGGTCCGATCAGCAATTTAGGCTACAAACTCTAACAAACATTCATCTATCTAAACTTTCGCATTTATAATATTAGTAAGACTAGTAAGAAGTAAGATAACGAACGTATACAGATATCTTAACTTTATGTGAACCGATAGAGCAAACAGAAAAGTACAAAATACAACTAAGAAATAACAGAATGTAAAAAAAAATGTTATTTTGAACGCAATATTTGAATTTAAAAATATGTAGATATCGCACCTATAGTGCGGCAACCATACATGTTGTATTACTTCGATATGAGTTTGAAATTGAATTTACAACTACTTGACGTGGGACGAAGCCAATGTGCTGGAAATATTGAATATTATTCGAAATAGACTTTAAATTGCCTTGTCTATGACGTCAGGATATTGTCAGTTTCAGTTGGAAAACTGATAGCAAATCATGAGTCTTAAATAATAAATAATCTGTAATACTATAACCCCAATATAATCTATACTTATATTAATATTATAAAGAGGATAGATTTGTATTTTTATATATATTGAGATAACTCAAAAACTACTGTACCGATTTCAAAAAAAAAAATCGCCATTAAAAAGCTATATTATCTCTTAGTAAAATCTGGATATATTTTTTATTACTTTTTATTTTTTTACACGTACGAAGTCGCGAGCAACAACTAGTAACCAGTAAATTGAAGAATGGTTTTCAAGACATTTTTGTAACTATGATAATTTTAAGGAAACTTGTGCAATCGTTAAGTCTGAAATAGTAATTTACCAACATTCGATATTTTACTAAAATAAACTAATCGAAAAACATTCAAATTTGTTCGTTCGACTTTATAATACACAGAAGTATAAAAGCAGTCGCTGCAGAAATTGCAACCTGGAAAATGTTATCGAGAAAGATGTCTACGAAGAAATCCGCAACAGCAGGAAAGAAGTAAATTGTTCGTTATTATTTTTCAAGTAAGTCCACGATTTATAGATAAAAATATACCAAGTAATTGTTTTTTACTTAATTTACTTTACTTGATAAAAGTAACATTTGTATATACTTAACAAACTACGATTAGAATTATACAAAGAAAACTAGTCACTATTATTCATTACTGCTGAGGGTCTATCACGAATATTTGCAAGACAGTTGCGTCTACTCTAAACACTATCGAGTGTAATGTACCCCAATAAATCTCATACAAATTTTGTCGATAACTTTACTAATAAGTTGTCATGAATATTCGAGACTAGCTGTTCCCGTGCGGCTTCATCCGCATGAAATTGTGAAAATTTTATTTTGTTGTTTACATTTGTCAAATTATCAATAGCAAATGTCAAAATGACACGACATGACAAACCTTAGCAATCTTTCTTTCTTGATGTTGGCAGCAACTTATGGTCTCTTTCCCACATTAGGGTTTTTATCTTAAATATTTACCCCTTGAGTTTAATGGCGTGAAAATATATAACCTAAAGCGTGACGTAAGTGTAGGACATTTTATTAAAAAAAGGATAATTCAAAAATATGCTGTAGTTGCTGACATCTTAGGCAACAAAGAAGTGTGTGTTTACGCTTTATTATAATAGTATAGATATAGATAACCGGATAAGGCTACAAATGTAAAGATATTAACGTTACGTAATTACATATACGAAAATAAAAGCCAAGTTTATTAAAATAGAAATATGTACAACAATCTAAAACCAGGCGAGTGCTAAATCTATCGGAGCTATTCACGTAAATAGATGTTTGAATAACTGACCTCTGAACGACCTTTGCTTACTTCTTACTAAAATAAAGTTCCTTAAAAAGAATTATACTAAAGTTATTCTATTATAAATTTTTATGAATAACAAGCTGTTTCTCGCAACTTCGTCTGTGTGAATTAGTAAAAAATATATCCTATGTTACTCACTGATAACGTGACTTCTAAATGTAAAAAAAAATAAAATCGGCCTACTAGTATTTGAGTTATTTCATATACATACAAAAATGTCACTTTTCTCTTTATAACATAAGTATAATACAACTTAAATCATTAACGAAATAATAAAAAAAAAATGCTACGTGTTTATTTGATTTTAATTTATGTATCGTAAAAATCATTCAACTTTGTTATAGAATATATTGCAAATACTAAAAGACAAGATTCTCGAATGTCCCATCGTTTATTTAATTTGAAGTCTGTAACTCAATTCCAATGCAACGTTCCCGGACCGATATTTTATAGCAATTTCAATCGACTTAGAACATCTTTATTGAGAAATTTCTTTACTTTAAAACTTCATCTACTTTTTACTTAAGTGTTAAATAATAAATTAAGTAACTTGAGACTTCCGTTACGTAGGCACGTGTACAACATACATTTATCTATGTCTAACCCGGCTTTAACTGATGTGAATTTGCGGCACGAAAATTTAGGTAAAATGCCACCAAAAAAAGATCCTACGTTTCTATTTCCATGCTTTGTTTGTGTATCCAAAAATAATTAACTTGATATCAAAACTGCAAAGCAAACTATGAGTCTCGTTGTATAAAATCATAACAGATTTGGGATCGGTGTTGTTATTGGTACTGAGTATGATAATAGGTTAATAAATTATTATATTAACCTATTAGTAGAGATTTCACGACTTGCGTACGTTAATATTCACATGTATGTGGTAACTTACCTGATAATGTTAACCCTATAATTATTTTTTTTTTATAACAAAAGGTGGCAAACGAGCAAGCGGCTACTAGAATCCGCCAAAATGGCGAGCGGCCGCTGCCCATAGACATCCGTAATTGCAGATGCGTTGCCTATCCTTATGACAGAGGAGGAGATGCACATAAAGAGGATATCTCCCCTTCCTATGCATCTCCTCCTCTGTCAAATCCACTTCCTCTTCCCAACATCTTATGAGAAAAGGGTGGTTAAGAGAAAGGGACTTAAATTAGGCCTCCGGCACCACACTCATCAGACGAAACACGGAATTGCTTCCATTTCACGCCTGTCTTCTGTGTGGTCGTGGTATTACACCGGGCGTGCCGGCCTATTTGTGCTAAGATGTTAACGCGGGCACTACCACTGTATAATTATTATATCGAGCTGTTGCCCCCAACTTCGTCAACGCAATACTAAGACAAAAAGTAGCCTATAATATGCCCGTCTATGTTAGCTACCCTTTAGTAAAAATTCGGTCGAAGTCGGTCCAGCTGTTTCGGAGATACCCTGAACAAACGCCGCTTGCGGACAGACAGACAGATAGAAAAAAAAGTTAAATCCGATTTTCATTAACAGCAAAGCAAATAATCTTCTTCGCGAAATCTGGAGTATTTTTTTTAATATTACGATCGGACACTCCAATTTTTTATATGTTATTTGTTATAGCATTTGAGGATATGCTTAAGAAAGGAGTGGATTCAGATATGACGCCTGATAGAGATGTATGGAAGAGCAGCACATACTGTGCCGACCCTTCATAAGGGATGAGGGCAAGTGGATGATGATTACTCTAATTTTATTTATATGTATAGATAATGTAAAAAAATCAACTATAGATAAACATTTAGAGAGAAAATCGTTAGAAAAACATGTATTTATTTCTGTTTAGTCGTAGATATATAAAAGATATAAAAGTACAATATATTTTTTACAGTAAGAACTTACGTAAAACAGATCGAAAACTTAATAAATAATTTTTAACACAACAATGACAAAACAATAAATGAAATACTTCGAATACAAGAATGTTTTTAACCCTATTCAGAACTTTATAGATAAGTTCATTGTTATTTCATTCAAAAACAATTACACTTTACTTCGCAATTCCAATAGCATGGACTCAAGACTTTAACATTCCGAGAGTAAGTTAGTTCATTTGTTATTCAAGTTCATTAAGTAACAATAATGTAATACAACTGCACTTCATTCCGTATTCCGGGACTAGCGTCTGTGAATTATTAATGGCAACTTTAATTGTTTTTTAACTACCATTTATCTTCTTACAATTGTTGCTCGGATGAATACTTAAACGCCTGTCGTTTAAGACTACAATGGAGTCTCCAGTTTATAACTCGAAACAAATTGTAGATGTTTTTTTCTAAAATATTTACATGATCAATTTCAATTATGTGATTACTGTCTTTTTCTTACATTTATTTATTAATAGAAAAGGCTTTTATGTATCTATACTATTATAATAAAGCGTAAACACATACTTACTTGTTGCGTAAGATGTCAGCAATTACAGCATATTTTTTAATAATAATTTTTTTAATAAAAAGCCCTACACACGTCACGCTTTAGGCTATAAATTTTCACGCCTTTAATCTTAGGGGAAAATAAATATTTTGGATAAAAACCCTAATGTGGGAAAGATACCATAAGTTGTTGACCATAATTTTAATAACTTTATGCGGATGAAGTCGCATGGGAACAGCTAGTTTATATATACAGGACTATATCTATGCCAAATTTCATCGCGATCCGTTCGGCTGTTTGGGCTACAAACTCTAACAAACAACCATCTAAACTTTCGCATTTATAAGTGTGATAGTTTGATAATTTATCTATTTATGGTGCTTTTTGTAAAAAATACTTGTAATTTTTATACAAAAATAATAACTTACTTCCAGTTATCATCGTTAAACATTACAGAAGCTAAAAATCACTTCCTAAAGAAACCTACATTTCGAAGATAAAAATTGGATACCCCCTCGAGGTTTGAAAATAAAAGTGAATCCACGAAGTTAGTGGAGGGCACGATCTCATTAAGTTGTGTCTGAAACTTAGCAAGTTACTTAAGGGTGTGCCTCTAAGGTGTTAGTTTCTTAAGCTCTATTTAACAAAGTTACGTCGAAATTGTTCTATCAGTTTTTATATGAAATTAATTTTATTTTACCGAATTTGAAAGTAAATGAAAAAGTATGAATGGATTTTGTGAAATTGGATATGCTTAAGGAATCGAATTCATATATAGATAGTTTTATGGAAGAGTCCATACTGTGCCGACACTATGTAGGGAAAATTACTGGTGATAATATTTATGTAGTCTCTCCAGAAAATAATATTGTTATCATTATTTGGAAACGGAAGGAATAGTAGATGTAGTTTTATAAAAGTCGCTCAGAAGCTCAGTTGCTCAGTATATTTCTAATCATCAACACGGAACGTTCGATATCTTTATGTAGTTGCTTTAGCGTTTGTTTTAATGTAATTAACAAGTAAAGGAAGAGGAAGACCGAAAAAAGTATGTATGGATTGTCTGAAAGAGTATATAAAAAAGGAGTGGATTCAGATATGACGGCTGATAGAGATGTACGGAAGAGCAGCACATACTGTGCCGACCCTTCATAAGGGATAAGGGCAAGTTGATGATGAACAAGTAGTATAGCCGTTCATCTATTTTTTTAAATAATTTATCGTAATCGAAATATCTAAGAATATTTTATGTAACGCAATAAATACTTATGTAGATTTATATCTAGACTAAATATTCAATGTTAACACTAGAATTTATTTAATTTTCTTTCAGTTTATTTTATGCAATAGCACGATCTTCAATAATTTACATTTGTTTGTTTGAATTCGAACTATTTCCTTTTAGCAGCGTTGCGGCTGCTTTAATGGAAGCAATTTATTTTACATTTCTTCATGAAAATAAAAAACTAATGTTTCAAGATGATGGTCTTTAAAAAATCCAAAAACTACTGAACGTTAATGAAATAAATGCGAATGTTAAGATGGAATGGAAGTTTTTTTTATTACGAAAAAATTGAAGCGGAATAAATTCATAACACAAAATAAAATTTCTCAAAGTTTTTGACATGATTCCTTAAGGGGTACACGTACCTTTAATAAACTTATAATGAGGAAGCCTTATTAGAACAATCTCATGTTGTGTTTACAGAGTTTTGTTTATTTTATAATTATTACGTTTTTGCAAATTTTTTTTGGACTTAAATTAAATACATTTTCGATATTCACTCGTTTACAATTAAACGATATATTTTATGTTTTATCGATAAAGGCTTTTTTTAAGGCTCTATTTTACAACATAACAACTTTGACCGTGTTCTAATTTCCTGCCCTTGGTGTCCCAAAATGTCCTTCACCCAGATCAGTAGTACATTTTATATGGAAATTTTATTTTTTTACCTTTTAAAATCCATCTCCAAATATTGATATAACTGGCATCTTTTAATTAACATCTAAAATCGGAATTAAAAAGATATGCTGAATCATTATATTTATTAAAAACACACGAGAGAGAAAGCTAGTCAAAACTATAATTCTAAAAAAACATTTTCACATAAATCAATTAAACACAATGTTAAATTCGTAGCGCTACAGTTAGAAAACATTAACTAGCTTGTAACAATAAAATAACATAGTTTCTACTTGTTCGTGTTACAAATTAAATTGGTTTGATATTCCAAATCCAATTATATGAACTCGTATCAAACAATAGAAAGTTGCATCTATTATAATAAATCTAACATAGATAAAACTTTTCTATTATTATTACGAGAAACCAGCTTTAGCCCTAGATTCACTCAGCGAGAAAAACAAAAGTAGCCCATGTGTTTTTTAGCACTAAGCTCTACCATGCCAAATTTTATCGAGATCCGTTCAGTCTTTTAGGCTACAATTCTAACAAACATCCATCCATCCAAACATTCGTTCCTATTTAAGACAACATTGTAATAAAATAATTATTTACTGAATTAAAGTTCAGTTTACTTATGTTCCGCCTTACTTTTTAGAGCCCGTATATCAACTTTTATGGTTGAATTAACGAGTTGGAAATATCCTTTTTCTGTTCCTCTACATTAAAGGTCGAAATTCCATCTTCTTTAGTTTTTTTAAAAATAAATGACAAGAACGCAGCTATCGTGCGGTTTTCGCTGAACTTTCTGCTCCGCACAGCCGCGTTGTGGAACGGTCTATCCTCGGCGGTATTTCCAAACCAATACGACTTAGGGTCCTTCAAGAAGCGAGCCTATCATTTCCTTAAAGGCCGGCAACGCATCTGTAGCTCCTCTGGTGTTGCGGATGTCCATGGGCGTCGTTGACCACCTTAGTGTTCACGCCGCTCGTTTGCCCCCAATAATCTTTTCTCGTTGAAATTTGTAACCATCATAAAAGCTTTGAACATTATTAGGTTAAACTGACGACTCTTTTAAAGTAGTCTTTGAAGCTTTATGTCGATGTTCATATTAGCTAATGCATTGGTTTACGACGTATAAGGAAATCACAAGTTCACGAGGCTATAAAATTTTAATTAATTGCTACATTACATTGCATACGAATTTGTATGTTTCTGGAGTAGACAGCGCTATGTCAGAGCCGTGCCAAAACCATTGTCTACACCTCTGGGTTACTGGTGTGTATTGTTTACTACATTAAGCTACAGATGGTCAGTTATAATTGACAGTTTTAATTGAACAGTAGAACTGTTGTGTTGACAAAATTTTAACTGTCAGTTGAACTGTACTGTTAATGTTTTCCCTACAAACGAGCAGTTTTGCGACGAGCGTCGGTGGCTCAGTGGTTTGAACACTTGACTTGTAATCTACAGGTCTTGGGTTCGAATCATGCCATATACCAATGTGATTTTCGATTTTTCGAATTTTCATATGTACATAATTTACCCGACGTTCTTACGGTGAAGGAAAACATCGTGATGCAACCTGCACATATCGGCGAAGAAATTCAAAGATATGTGTGAAGTCGACCAACCCACACTTGGCCAGCGTGGTTGACTATGGCCTAGTCACCCCGTATTAGGATAGGCTCCGAGCCGGTGGGGACGTATAGTGAGCTGGTGATGATGATGAGCAGTTTTAACAGAACAGTTCGACTAATTAGTTAAGGAATTGAGCTGGCATTATCATAATCAAAAATTACATGGTTTTAAGTAGCAAAATGGATATACATTGTATAACTGCGACATATTTGAAAATGGGCTATAGAAAATTTAAATTCAATAGATAAAAGTTTCAAAGTACACTATAAATTTTATGGAATAGCGAAGTTATTTGTTGTTATAAAAATATAACATAAGGTAAGCAACTCTAAGTGCAATATGCTGCGATGTGTTGACTTTTCTCAATAAAATACACCCACCTTGATATCGGGAAAGTTATGGACTTTACAAGCTTTACTAGTTGCACTCTTCAACATTAATTTCCAGTTCATTTTAATATTTGCGTTTTTAAGATTCAACTATAGATATCTAACATTGAAGAAAGAGAAGAAAATTTATATTAAAAAAAGTCAAAAATGGTTGGCAATTGTCATAAAATTAATGGATTATCATAGAAATTTATATCTATACTAATATTATAAAGAGGGAAACCTTGTATTTTTGTATGTATTGAATTAACTCAAAAACTACTGGGACATTTTTTCAACATCAGAAAGGTAATTTATCTATGAGTAACACAGGCTATATTTTATTATTACTAATGTTTAGTAACTATTAATAAACAGCGTGTTTCTGGACAGCGGCGTTAAAAAGAAGTATAGAAGATATCGCGAACACAAACAATAAGGGTAATCGAAAAATCAGCTTACAAACTACTGGGCTTAGGAATTTGGAATCTTGCATCTTTAGATTTATGTTATTACGTAGATTACTACTAAGTTAATACTTTTGGTAATAGGTTGAAAAAAACGGGCGAACGTAATAGGTTATATTTGTAATATCACGTGGGCGAAGTCGTGAGCAACAGCTAGTACACAATATATCGATATTACATTTTTAATGAGTCATAATACGCTTATATTAAAAATGTGATACCCATCGTAGATACTGAAGTATTTTGCTACGTCGTAGCGGTCTACAAGTGTAGATATCGACATGTCTAAGATTTCGTTGCGTTGCATTAAAATAAATCACCGTTTACATACACAATTATCAATGTAAAGAAGATAATTGTATAACTAGATGTTGCCCGCGACTACGTCCACGCTATATTAATATAAAAAAGTAGCCTATAATATGTTAGATACCTCAGTGAAAGAGTCTGGTCGAAATCGGCCCAGCCGTTTCGGAGATTTCCCAGAACAAACGCGGCTTGCGGACAGACAGACAAAAAAAATGAAATGCGATTTTCGTTATGAGCAACGCAAATACATCATATTACCGAAATCTGATTTTTTCTTTAGATATTACAGACACTTCAATTTTATTATATGTATGGATTACTTCTAAATTCAATTTACATAAATGAAACAAGAAAGTTGTAGAATGTAGAGAATAGAAAAGAAAAAGTTGTTCCAGAAGTAATATCGTTCGATAATCGATTCAAGTTCCGTTCTCGTATAAAACTGTAGTTTGTCGCTTCCGTCCTTGTAGAGGGGAGTATTTGAATGTATTTGCTCAGTTTTCCGCTAGCATTTGCTACTAGACCAGTAAGCGAGCAAAGAGCGACGGCGCAGATGACGACTAATAACATTTTGTTGACAACCCGCGGTGGTGTGACAGAGACGGCACTGTCGAATATATCATATAGAGCTGTATACCAGGATTTTAGAAAAATTGCGCATTTTTTTATATACCACGTGTATATGTGATAATTTTACAAGTAGACATTTGATTTATCACTATGTCCGAATTGTCAGCATTTATGCCTATATTATGTGAGAAAAAGTAGTCAAATAGGGAACTGATAAAAGAGATCATGTAATAGCGCACAATTCTTATAAATTTCACAGCCCATTTATGCAATAATTGCTACAGCTCGCTTTTATTTAAATTATTGTTGCTTACAAGAAGAATGTATTTTATAGTTAATTTTAATGTAACCTAATAGTAACTAACATTCAGTTTTTTTACGTAGACCAACTTATATCCTATTAAATTTGTCTTGCACACTACAAATTTAACAAGAAATGAATTATTAAATTCAATCTTTCCACTAGTGTACTTATTAATTAATTAAAAATGTCACATTAAAATATCCTTAATAATTTTATTTTATTCAGCTCTATAGAGTTCCGCCTACTGGTTTCGCATCAGGCTGTGGTATAAGGGCTGGTTCGACGCGCTGGCAGTCACTCGTGCTGCGACTCGCCTCCCGAACAGTCGGGGAGGCGTCCCGACGATACGAAATTAACGCGCGCGTACGTATTTACCCCTACTATTTATCGTCCGTGTTTAGTGCTACTAACGGTGAGTTGAGAATTGTGTGATAACATTTGTGTTGGTTTAGGTAACTTTTTTTTATCACATTATCAAAAGAAATATTTATCCTTCCTTAAGTACTTAAAAGAGAAATTATGTAATACATTTTGTGTAAATTATACGTAATTGTTGAACAAGAATGAGATTGTCAATTTCATTTAAAAAAATGCCGTTGAATTAATTCAATTAGTTGAAACCATTAATTATTGATGATTTGTGTTTGTACTTTGTACTTCTTTATGTTATTTATTTTCACTAGCTTTCGCCCGCGACTCTGTCCGCGTGGAATAAAAAAACAAGGAATATCTTATGTGTTCTTCCAGACCATCCAATCCGTCTATGAAAAATTTCGTCCAAAATTTCGTCAAGATCCGTTCAGCCGTTTAGGCTACAAACTCTAACATTCATCCATCTAAACTTTCGCAAATATATAATTAGTAAGATTGTTTTTTACGTTAATTATTACAAATTTAATTTATAATTGGAAATTGTAACAATAGATGGCTCAGCCGATAAGTACGCTACTGTCTTGTTGACCGCAAAAGCTCTCATAAATATTCAAGGGGACATTACGCGTTTCATTTGTTTACTAGTAATTTTTGGTTTTGTTGAAGTATTGTTATTATTCAGAATAAATAACAATTCCTTTTGGATAAAATGAGTACAAGGATACTTTATTTTATTTATATTATACACTAATATATGCTAAACCGAATTAATTTTAAAAGCTATTTGTACTATTATAAAGAGGAAAGATTTGTATTTTTATATGTATTAAAATAACTCAAAAACTACTGCGTCAATGTCAATTTCATACCATTAAAAAGCTTATCTTATACAGGTAATCTTTTTAGTACATTAGCTATATTTTACTTTTTTTTTAATTACACGCGGACGAAGTTGCCAGCTGGTTAATTATAGAACACGGCTTAACTAATACCAGTCTGGATTCTTCATTAGACCTACCAATCTTAAATGCCTTTGGCTCTTATTACCTTATTAAGATTATTAATGTATTTAATATTCTATACTACAGTATTATCTATTCCACCCTACGTACATTTAATTTTATTGTTTATTGTCCTGATTCTTTACACAGGATGTCCTGAAATTCATTCAAAGTCTATTTATTTATTTTAAAAGTAAGGACTAAAAATAAGACGCAGCTACTCAATAACATGTATATTTAAATATTATTCATTTTTTTTTAATAATGTATAAATAAAATTTTTATTTCAAATTTATTTTATTTACGCAAGAACTATATGGTGCGAAATATCTTCCAGGTACTGTTGCGAAATTCCGCCGTGATTAGGTATTGCCTTGTTAATTACAACGAGACAAACTCCCTCTCGTTCTACAAATAGCTAATTAGATAGCGAGTGCAAACAAAACAATAATAATGAAAAGAAACTAACCGTAATTCAAATCATTAACTGACTTTCGTACAGACATAAGCGTTGTATTGATTCTTGTTTCATTTCCGCGCTTTAAAAATGTTCCAATGAATGTAGCTGTTAAGGGACACCGCCAGATTCCCTAACTGTACTTAGTTATTACATTGATATATGACGTCACACGATGTTCCTGATGACGGCTCCTAACTTCGAATGTAATAAATTCTACTCCCAAATTTACATATCTCAGAAGAGTAGAATTTGCGTCGTAATAATTTCCTATGTTACATTTGCATGTCGACAAAAGGATTTACAAAGTTCTTGGAAATGGTAATCTTCCCCAATTTATGTATTATTTATTTGCATTAATTAATTATAGTAAATTAGGAAATAAAGAAATATTTTTGTTACCTTTGACCAAACTCTCGCACAACTGTTTAGTTGCGCTATAATTTCTTTGAGCTTACAGTGTGCAACTAAACAGTTGAATCGGTTGCAAAACAATCGACAATCACACAACAGCTAGACAAGACATGCATATTTCTCTACGTGTGACCTGAGTATGACGTCATGAAATTATCTTAACGGAAATGGAATTACAAAACATTAGCAGGCTTCAATTTCTTTAAGAACTTCTAATACCTGTTACCAAATTCAATTAAAACAGTATTTACATTTTATACTTTTTAAAAAAGTAGCGCGTCAACATGTAATCCACTTAGTTCTCCACTCTTAATCGATAGCTCTTTTATTACCCATAAATATATTGAATGCCAAGTAAACACTCTCATTGATAGATTAAAGTTTACATTATAAAGTACAGTCGGCTGCAATTTATACTTCTATACTATTATAATGAAGCATAAACACACACTTCTTTGTTGCCTAAGATGTAAGCAATTACAGCATATTTTTGAATAATTCACGTCACGGTTTGGGCTATATATTTTAACGTCATTAAACTTAGGGGGTAAATATTATGGATTAAAACTTCAATGTGAGAAAGAGACCATAAGTTGCTGCCAACATCAAGGAAGCAAGGTTGTCAACATGTCATGTCATTTTGACATTTATAATTGATAATTTGACAAATGTAAACAATAATATAAAATTTTCATAATTTCATGCGGATGAAGTCGGACGAGAACAGCAAGTGTGTATATATTTACAAATCTTAAGAAACGTGTATACGCATTCGGTTTCAAAAATACGTATGGTTTTTTCCGTATGCTTCAATTTGAATACTATCAAAATACATTTTAGAAAACGACGGTCTTTACAAGTTTCTAATTTGTAAATGTATGCATGTTTTTGTTGCTGACTGTACATTACTAAACATGGTTTGAAGGCCTAATAAACCTTAATTTACGGTAGGCTGAGCCCTCGATGACGTCACGAGCTCGACATGCATTTATAAAATTAAACGTTAGTTATCATTGTGGAAAGAATTGTTAAAAACTAGTGTTATCTCAGCTATTTCAAAGCAATTAAGAGGGATGGTAATATGTTTTTGTATTGGTAAATTGGCATTGGAAAACCGTACTTAATTACTACGTTGGTAAGCAATTACATTACAAAAACATTAGCGTGTATGTTACATCATTATACGAAACAACTTTTGAATGTTGTATTTTTAACCAAATAACCTACAAATTAGTTACTGTTTTTGTCGTATGTCAGTTTATTTTAACGTGCTATGGTATATATTTCATATGATATTTGATAGCAAATAGCTATTTATATTTTAATATTTTTTTATTTAACTACGAGATAAGAGAGAAATGTCTACGAGAGGTTATCGCTTAAATTGAATTTAAATGATACGTTTTGGGTTCAATCAAAAATAGATAAAAACGTATTCTGTCTACTGTTGTAGGTAGTATTGTTACTGTTGTTGTTATTTTTCTATGTATCTCGTGTAAACCTATAAATTATGTGCATTACTTACTGTATTGTGTGAATGTGAATGTGTCATAATTTTGTCATGTAGGTTTATCAATAAATAAATAAATAAATCCGGAATTAGGAGTAAGAAATAGGAAGAATTTATAATTGTAAAGTTAATATTAGTAAGTGTTAACTGTGGATTTTACAAATATTTCTTTTATTTTAAGGAAATTATCTCATCTTTATGAGTAGCAGCGTCAAGTCACTTTATGGTTTTAATCTATACTTTGTGTTTTTGTATGTATTGAAATAACTTAAAAACTACTGGGACAATTTTAAAAATTTTTACACCGTTAGAAAGGTAATTTATCTGCGAGTAACATAGGCTACATTTTGTTATAATTTTTAAGTTCACGCGGGCGAAGTCGCGAGAAACATCTAATATATTAATAAAAAAATAAAAATAAGTTTTATCCGCGCAATCTGTGGGCATGGTTGACCTGTACTTTACCTATTTAGGTCAAATGTGCCATCCTATATTTTACACTTTATTGCGTTTACCTTACTTGTAGTATAGATACTGCATACAATCTTGTAGGTTTACAACTGGTAAAGACTTGTACATATTCTTGTATTTAAAGGTGTTTCCCGTTGGTCTTATCGAATCAATGGGATTTTTCTATTCATTCAATCGATTGATTTATAGATTCAAACAAATGGGAGTAAAACATTATTTTTTGATCGATCTTCCAATCGAGAAGCACGCTATTTTAATTTTAAGTTAGTATTGATAGAATTTGTCTACTTTATTTTGAGATTTTACGTTGGAATTACATCAAAATGAAATGAGAAATATACGAGTACTTATTAAAAATTAAGTTAATTACAGAAATGAGAATTTATTAATTTTGAACGGAGTGTACCGTATTATTCTGAAAAAACCATAATAACATTACAGATAATTTAAAGATTGCATTTTAATGTGTTTAGTAAGCGTTGAAATGTTTTTTAAATAAATATTAATGTTGAATATGCTACAACGAACACGTTTTATAAAGTTTCCGAGCTCTAGTTGGAATTAGCTAATACTATTTTAACATATTTCGGCTCGGACTATTTGTTCGTTTATTCCCAGTAGTGTAACGCGTTACCAAATTAATTGTGATAATGTGTTGCCATTGACTAACGTAATATGAAAATACTCTCCACAACGTAAATGTAATGTACATTTATTTTACACTTGCTGTTGCCCGCGACTTCGTCCACTATTAAGATAAAAAGGTAGCCTGTAATATACCCGTCTATGTCGGCTACCCGTAATAAACGTGGCTTGCGGACAGACAGACAAAATATTTTTAATGCATTTTCGTTATCAGCAACGCAAATACGTCAGTCACCCATTATTAGTGGGGACATAACAGACTTCTTTTTATTAGTAGTAGTAATTACTAAACAAGTTGATAAGATTTACTAAGCTAGGATTTGTAGGAACTTTTAATTCTGAAAGTAGCGAGTTAAATTTCAAGTTCTAGGATATATAAAAAATATATTATTCTTCATACAATAAAAAGCAGTAATTTCCACTAAAAGCCTCAAAGTATGTTTTTATGTAGGTTTAAATTGACTGGTGCTTAAGGCAGAAAAATTCTCTCTTTGTGTCGTTAACTTTAGATGTCATTGGGGACGAGTCTTTTAGTGGTCGGTCGAGTTTTGATATTAGCGGAATACGTTGACTTTAGGTAGCGGAACGCGTTTGTCGTAAATTACAACTTTTATTGAACATTCAACTTAATGTAGTGTACAATAAAGTACCAAATCGAACGTGGTATAGAATAAAATTAATAATAAGGTAATGGTTTTTTTTATAACATAAGGTTGCAAACGAGCAAGCGGCCTGAATCCAAAAAAGCGACCGCTGCCCATAGACATCCGCAATTGCAGATGCGTTGCTTACCATTATACGACGGAGGAGGAGACGCACATAAAGAGGATATTTCCCCTTCCTATACATCTCCTCCACCGTCAAACCCACTTCCCCTTCGCATCCCCTCCTTATAAGAAAAGGGTGACAAGAGAAAGGGACTTAAATTAGGCCTCCGGCACCACACTCATCAGACGAAACACGGAATTGCTTCCATTCAACGCCTGTCTTCTGTCGTGGTATTAAACCGGGCTTGCCGGCCTATTCCTGCTAAGATGTTAAAGCGGGCACTACCACTATTAATGGTATATAATAAATAATAAAACTATGCACTTGTCTATACTGAAATTGTAAAAAGGAAAAATTTGTATAATTGTATGAATTGATTTGAGATATTCTTTCACCATTAAAATGCTAGGTTATCAGTGAATAACATAGGCTATTTTTGTTAATCTTTCGCGGCGCCGAGATCGCAAGCAACAGCTAGTTTCATATAAATTGTATTTATTATGTATCTATTAACAAATTATGGATGGATTGTGTGAAATAGGACATGCATACGGAGTGAATTTCGATGACAGCTGATTGGTTAGAATATTTAAAAAAAACCATGATAGTTCAAACTATTACAAAGACAAGCTGTTCCCGTGCGGCTTTATCCGCATGAAATTATGAAAAATTTATTTTATTGTTTACTTTTATCAAATTATCAATTACAAATGTCAAAATTACATGACATGATGAAACCTTGCTTCCTTGATGTTGGCAGCAACTTTTGGTCTATTTCCTATATTAGGGTTCCAAAATATTTACCCCCTAAGTTTATTGGTGTTAAAATATATAGCCTAAAGCTTGACGCAAGTGTAGGGCTTTTTATTAAAAAAAATATTCAAAAATATGCTCTAATTGCTGACATCTTAGGTAACAAAGAAGTGTGTGTTTACGCTTTATTATAATAGTAGAGAAATAGATATACGAAAAAGTTGACGGTCGATGTTTAAATCTACAAAGGCCATGTTAATGAATTCGAGGCGCTGCCAAAATCCTATACGCATCATTAGCTATTCTTTGAGGTTTAAGTTACACATTGTATAGACATAAAGCCTCGTATCGATTGATCATTTAGTAGCTTAGATGTTAGAATTCAAGTAAATTGTAAAAGCCTATATTATATGTACTTACATATTATGATTACTTAATCGTACTAATGTTATAAATGAGGAAGTTTAGTTGGATGAATTGTTAGACTTTGTAACCTAAACGACTGAACGGATTTCGATGAAATTTGGTATAGATGTAGAGGATAGTCTGGAATAACACAGGCTATTCACTTTTGTTTTTTTCAATTCCATGCGGATGGAATCGCGCGCGATATTTAAATATTCTTCGGCCATGTTAATAAATATTTTAATTTTTCTTCCGTCTAATTTCTATTTTAATATTGCATTGACGACTTTGAGTTCGGAAGTAAGTATAGTAATTTATTAACTGTTTTTATTTTAGGCAAGTAGCCTATGTGTTCTTCCAGACTATCCTCGACATTTATGCCAAATTTAATTTTAATTCATTCAGCAGTTAAGGCTACAAACTCTACCAGACATAAAAACTTGTGGGCACTTTCGTGTTCATTAGCAATTTTAGGTTATGTTTAATTAATCATGCTGTATATTACATACAGGATGTTTTTTGTACAGACGAACAGCGGGAGGTCTGCTATCATGCAGCGCGCCGGCGCCATGTTCCTCGCGCTTGCAGCTGCACTGCTTGCGGTGCAGTCTGTGGATGCTTCCTACATTGATCCTGGTAAGTATACAAGGTCTTTCTCCGACCTAGCAACTTGTGATGAAAGAAGAGTTCTCACAATTAACAATAAATATAGCGATCCACGTTTAAAGTAGCAGACATTTTCCTTATCTTTCAGTTCCTGTACCAGGTGTAACACACCCTGTATGTATACATTTCTTATTTGCACTGTAAGTGAGATATGTACTAGGAGTTTTAGAGCTGGTCTGCATTCAACGTTTTAATTGTTAAGTAACAACTCCGTAACAAGAGATTAATATTGAAAGCAGAGACTGTATCAAAGACAATAAGCCAATACGACAAGAAATGTACCGATACAATGTTATTTTCACCACACAATATGTCCAAGTAACATGATAGTATCTCATACGAGACTTTCAGCCCCATCAGATCGAAAAAGAAAATAGAATATCTTATGGTACACTTTACTATGAAACTATTACTCTTTCAGATTTAAGCTTTTTACTTAGAGAAAACTTACAAGTTTTTATTTCATTCAAAATTTTATTGATTTTTTAATGAAACTATGACTTTTTAGTTTTATTTTATAAATTGTGATAGGGTAAAAAACTTGCGATCCTCCAAGAGCAGCACTTTTTGTTAGTTAATAAGCTTACTATGATTTAACGTAATTTCTAACAGGAGACGAGGATGTCAATCTAGATTGGGCGGATTACGCTGACAGGAACGATTTGCAAACCTTACGAGATGTTGGCAAGTGAGTAAATAGTCTCTTATATAAAAGAGGCTCTTTTATAATGCATATTTACATTATTAACTACATTCATTTAGCAAAAAATTCGGACGCAATATTAACGACCTTGAACAATTTCAAATAGTAGAAAATATGAATTAATAATGACAGTAAAATTGAAAAATCGATTCACTAAATAAAATCATCATTGTAGTCTCGTATTGTATGAAATATGACAACTTTATAATAATTATAAAATGTATCAGACATGAACAAATAAAATCCATTGCGTAGATATCATAGCAGTAGCCTCGTGACTTAGGCTAGCTATTCGATGATGTGATTCCAGACGTTCGTCGCTGATCTACGTTTTCAGGCGTGCCTGCATCCCGCGCGGTGGCAACTGCGACCACAGGCCTGGCGACTGTTGCCACTCCTCCTCCTGCCGCTGCAACCTCTGGGGCTCCAATTGCCGCTGCCAGCGCATGGGCCTCTTCCAGAAGTGGGGCTGAGATCAGCCCCATGCCCCCGCTTCCGACGCCACGACCACCGCGCTACACCGGACCTCTTGCTTTCAACTTCATTTCTATCTAATTCTTTCCCTCATCTATCTTCACATCTTAGATTTGATCGCCATTCAAAACAGGGACCTAGATATTTCTGTTTGAAAATATTTTTGGACCTATTATACAAAATTTAGAATGCATTATATGATTCCTTTGCAGTATCTATTGGGTTTTTTTAGATAATTCTTCTGTCTGAATGAGTCGGGCGTCCGCTTACGTGGTTGGGCAATCACCCAGCCTTATTGCCCAATCAGTACGCCTCGACGTTATGCTCGGCCATTCAGACCATGCCGACTGTCCACAGCATCGGGTTCTGGGTGATTGTATTTTTGTTTCCCATTATGTTTAGACTCAGAACCCCAAGCTCTGGCAGCGTTTAACTTCTTAAAATGTATGTATGTAGAGTATAAGCTAAAAGTAGAAAGTAGCGCTAATATTGATGGTAAACTTGTGTCAATAGGAAAGTAGATGTCATTACAAAATAGTAAAAAAAAAGTTATATTAATAAACGTTCTAGTTATTTAAGAGACTAACGATAATGGAAAACTTGGTGAAAGATTCAACAGAAAGCCTTTGGGAATAACAGCGCCATTTGTATTTGCGATTGGCAACTTAGTTTTTAACTTATCTATATGTATCGAAATACAAGTAATTCGTTATATTTAAATGGAATCTTAATGTATCGCTCTCGCACAGGGGGTATAAGGAATTGCAGCCTAGTAGACACTTCTGTACGTAGCTTCTTATTGTACGTTCCTGATGGAATATGGTATTATATTATAACGTATATTGGAATATGGAAATGATATATTGTATTAATAAATGTTTATGAAGATTGATACGTCTTTTATTGTTATAACCACTTCTCCACTATACGTCCCTACTAAGAGGCTTGGAGCCTACCCATAGTCAACTACGCTGACCCATTGGGTATTGCTTGACTTCACACATATCTTTAAATTTCGATGTTTTCCTTCACCGTAAGAACGTCGTGTAAATAATGTACATGTAAAATTCGAAAATCAGATCAAACATGGCGGGCTTCGAACCCAAGACCTGAATATTACAAATCATGTGTTAACACTAAGCCATGCTCTAGATCCACTTCAAAATCACATCACGACATTTTAAACCTGTACAAATTATGCAATAATGATATTAGTCTGTTAGTCCGTACACTGAACAAATCTTGAATGCTACCGAATCTGATAGACGTCAACATTAAAATGAAATTTAAAGTTTAAACGTAGCCTTAACATATAATACGTTGTAACATACCTAATGTCGTTTCAGTATACAGCCGTGACAGTTTTAAATAAGTCATTGGATACCTTTGACGTGTGCTCCGTCCTACTGACCTACCTCAACAATACTGACAGCTGCAATGAAAGCGAACGCTGCACAAAAGAACCACACGTCTATCTACCTGTCATTCGACACATTGTCGTTACCTCACACTTTTATTTAAAAATATTTTGCTATAGCTGAACTGGTCAAAGTCTATCTTACTAATCTTACTTATATAATAAATGCAAAAGTTTAGATGGATGAATGTTTGTTAGAGTTTGTAGCCAGACCTCCTTATCAGATATCCATGGATTTGGTATAAATATTGAGGATAGCGTATTAGAACACATTGGCTACCTGCTTTTGTTTTTTTTTTTATTGAAAGCGGACGGAGTCGCGTGTGAATTTTTGTTGATTTGGTTGTTTGTATTGAATAGGCTTCGAAACTATTAAAGCAATTTCAAGAATTCTTTCACCATTAGAAAGGTACACTATCACTAAGTACCATAGGACATATAATAAATGGGTCACCAACGTCAGAAATATTATGACAGAAAAGATATGAGACGTTTATTTACCATCCAGGCGAAGCTGGGGCAATTTGCTAATCTACAATAATTCAATTATGAATTCATTATACCAAAGGGTGCTTCAAAATCACGTGATGGTGTTCATTAGATAATGCTACATACATACATAAAATGGATGGACATTAAATGTTATTACGAGTTCCATACATTTTGACTTTCCGACTACATATATAATTATTGGAATGTTACTTAGTGTAGCGTTTGATTAGATAAAGTTGAGGTGAATTAAGTCTTCAACAACTCGTTTTTAATTAGATTTATGTATTACTTTCGTTTTTTTTTATATTTTTTTCCACATACTTTTCAGAAAGTCATATATTGCAGAATACACTTGACTATAAATAAGTTTACTGGGTTAAGGACTATCGAATCGTGTCATCGTTAGCTTCGTAGATTTACTGTATGACACCCTAAGGGCGGGAAAATATGTAAGTCGATTATAAGAGTTTTTTAATAAAAAGAAAATGTGTATAGAATATTCATTTTATAAATATCGACTTGGATGAATTTTTAAAACTATCTTTTTTATTGAAATTCATAGTGTATTCACATCAAATACAAATAAATCAACTTTTTTGTGTCAACAGAAATGTATGTAACCCGTCATTGTAACAACATCATCATCACCAGCTCATTGTACGTCCCCACCGAGGGGCTCGGAGCCTACCCTAATAAGGGGTGACTAGGCCATAGTCAACCACGCTGGCCAAGTGCGGGTTGGTTGACTTCACACATATCTTTCAATTTCTTCGCCGATATGTTGTATATGGTTGCATCACGATGTTTTCCTTCACCGTAAGAACATCGGGTAAATTATGTACATATGAAATTTCGAAACATCGAAAATCACATTGGTACATGGCGGGATTCGAACCCAAGACCTGTAGATTACAAGTCAAGTGCTTAAACCACTGAGCCACCGACATATTGTACATAATGCCTAGGTAATTGGACATGATTTTTCAAATCGCCCGTAAATATGTGAAATAAAATCTAAATCAAAATGTAATACATTCAAGATCAAAAAGTGCACAAACATAACAACTTAATATAAACATACAGAGTTGGGCAAAATATTGTTCCAATTAACAAATAAATTAACAGTCAACACATTTTGATTTCTAGTTGTAAATTATTAATTTTAATTAAATTTTGCCCAACACTAACAACAATTTCTGCAAAGCGATAGGTCACTCGTACTAAAGTAGCATTATATGAAAACCTCTAAATATATAGACATATATATTACTAAATGGCTTTTGGGTCCAGATAACCGCAAAGAAATATTACCCGCCATTGCCCTACTTTACTCGACCAACGACAGAATTATGTTTATTTAATTGAAGACCGAAATTGTCTTGTAAATGTTGCTTATTTTACTAAACCAAATTAAAGTATCAATTTAAATCAGACTTAATTGTAAAATAAAAGAGCCCTTTTTATATTAGTAGTGTACCGTTTATCTTCCATTAGTCTGTATTGTTTAAGTTTTTATTATACAAAAATATATGTCTTACTAGCTTTCGACCGCGACTACGTCCGCGTGGAATTGAAAAAAACAAAAGTGAAATAGCCTATGTGTTCTTCCAGACTATCTTCTACATCTATGCCAAATTTCATCGAAATCCGTTCAGCCGTTTAGGCTAGAAACTATAACAAACATCCATCCATCTAAAGTTTCACATTAACGATATTAGTATAAAATATATTTATGGAAAACAAGTTATCAAACGCGACTCTGTCTGAGTGGTATTAAAAAAGGTAAGTAAGTAACCGATATGTACTCTCAGACTATGCTCTACATATATACCAAATTTCATCGAGATCCATTCAGCTGGTTAGGCGGTAAACTCTAACAAACATCCATCCATACATTCATTTAAACATTCGCGTTTTAAATATTATTTTGATTAGTAAGATTATGTAAGCTGGCAACACTTTGCAGTTCCTCTAATGCTGATATGGTTCGGTGTTCCCATCTTCTATTTTTTACCTTATGGTATAAAAAAATGTAATGAATCTATCGATTAATATACAAGAGAAAGATCAAGGAAGA